GGACGTGCTCACCAAGTTGTGCCAAGAAATCTGGAGAACAACCACTTGGCCAACTGACTGGAAGAGATCTATATTTGTTCCCATCCCAAAGAGGGGTGACCCAACAGAGTGTGGAAACTATAGAATATCATTGATTTCACATGCCAGCAAGATTCTACTGAAGATTATCCAAACACGACTGGAACAGCACATCAGCAGAGAACTGCCAGAAGTCCAGGCTGGGTTTAGAAGGGGTGGTGGTGGGGTTTATAGCCTAAAAAAAAAAACCCAAAAGGAAAAAAAAACCCACTAGAGGGTCAGCTATAAGTCATTTCAGACTTGACAGCACATAACAACAGTAATTTTGTTTGCGAACATAGACATATGATCTTTATATATTGTTAGGTAAAATAAATCAATTATAAAACACGTGTGTTATATTCTATTTTTTAAAGAGTAGTAGAAGGAAATATAAATATATGTAAGATTATATTTAAGTGCTAACTGTGTATCTCTCAGGGATGGTATACTAGGGGATTTTCTCCATATTTTGTATATGATGGTGACATTTAACAGTCTATACTAAACCTACACTTAATAACTAGAGAGAAAGCACAAATAAGAGCAGGCAGAGAGAGGGAAGAGAAAAATAAAGAAGGGAATTGTTAATGGTGTCAAATACAAGAATGGGATGAAACAGGGTAACACTGAGAAAATTCTCATTTTCTATACCATGTGGAAGGCCACAGGGATCTTTGCAAAAGCAGTTATAGTAACCAGATATACTGTGCCTCTTCAAACGCTTCATCATCTTGCTGGCCAGTTAGAACCAACCAATAGCTGACATTTCCTTGGGTTTCTAATACTGTAAAGCACAAGGGAAGAGGCCACTCATCTTTCTTCTGAAGAGCCACTGTTGGATTCTAACCATCAGAGAGGCACAGCTTTTGAGGTAGCAGTGCAACTTCTTATGGACTAGACCATGAGCACTTAGTGTTTCTCAAGAGTGGCCTAAGGGAGCTCTGGTGGCCTAGTGGCAAGAAGTTGCACTCCTATCCCAGAGGTGTACAATTTGAATCCACCAGATGCTCTGCTGGAGAAGGAGAGACAATCTATTCCTGTACCAGTCAGACAGATCCGATTTGACGGTACACACACACACACACACACACACACATACACACACACACACAAAATAATAAAATTTAAAGAAAGTGACCATGGAGTGAAACATTTGGCCCATGAGAAGATAGAATTTTTTCTGCATTTTTTTTCTTAACCAAGTGATTTTTTTTTTTTTTTTGAGAAGTAGGGTTAGCAGCATAGGGTTTTCAGAGGCCTGCTATCTCAGAAGTGGGTGGCCAATCCTTCTTCCTAGTCTGTCTTAATCTGAATGTTCAGATTTAGAGGAGTATCTGACAGACAAGCAATTTGTGGAGCAGTCTGATGGTAAAGTCTGCTGTTAGGGACCTCTCTAAAGTACTCAAGAGCAACGGTGTCTCTCTGGAGACTAAGGTGTGCCTGATACAGGCCATGGTCTTTGCAATCACTTGCTTTGCATCAGAGAGTTGAACAATGACTAGGGAGGACAGAAGGAGAATTGATGTCTTTGAGCTGTGGTGCTGGAGAAGAGTATTGAATGTATTATGGACTGCCAAGAAAACAAACAGATTTATCCTGGAGAGGATTAAACCAAGCAACCCCTTGGAGGCAAGGATTCTGGGGCTTCGTCTTACATATTTTGGACATGTTGCCAGGAGGGACAGGTCCTTGGAGAGGGACATCATGCATGGGAGGGTGGAGGGATGGCGCAGGAAGGGAAGACCCTCTATGAGATGGATTGATTCGGTGACTGGGGTAATCGGGATGGGTGTGTCGGAGGCAGTGCGATTGGCACAGGATAGAGCGGGGTTTAGGGCTGTTGTGCATAGGGGCGCTATGAGTCGCAAACGACTCGACAGCACATAACAACAACAACAGGGTTAACAGAACAGTGACATAAATATTCCTGACTTACATGTGAAACAAAAAGAAAACTAGAAAGCTACCAATATCTAGAGATGATGTTTTTCTTTA